TTCCTTAAGCTCTGACACCTCCTGAATTTCAGCTGAGATAATCATTTCTTTCAGTTTTCTTCATTATAGTTATTACTAGTAGTCAAGGAATTATAGATAAACCACAGTTTATTCATACTTACAGATGGAACTGTTAACCACGGTGCCAACCACTACACTCGTATGCTCTTGGTCTGCAATATTTGTTGAATAAATGAATGAAAAAAGGAGGAGCTGTCAGATGGATAGCATGAGAAGGGAAACATACAGTTATGAGTCCCTTAGTGGTGCTGAGAAACATGTCACTGGATGATTTTAACCTTGAGTGAACACCCAGGCTATGAGGCATACCTCCTACACTACAAACCTGTATGGCACGTTACTACACTTAACCCTGCAGGCAGTTGCAACAGAGTGGTAAGTATCTGTGTATCTAAGCATACCTAAACATAGGAAAGATATAGTAGACGTATGGTACTGGGGGCCACCGTCTCACACGTGGTCCACTCAGGCAGCACATGAATGTATGGCATTTATGGTTTCTTAATTTTAAAAAAAGTCTAAATTAGACTTATATACTCATTTTTCTTCATTTTTCACTTTATGCAAGAAAGAGATTGATTTTAATAAGTATTAAAAGGAGTTCTAGGAATGACGTCTGTGTTTTACTAAGATCTGTTGTGATATCCTCCGCCACAACTGACTTACTAAACTCTGGAGTCTCAGCCTTTGTCAAGGTCTTTCTCCCCTTCTTTTTCTTTTTTTCTTTCTTATTTAATTTTACCTTTCATTTTTCTTCATTTAGGGAACTTATGTTCTCTAAATTTACTGCATGCGTGTTTGGTGACTCAAAATCTAGCGTGTGATGATGGCTTCTGTCCGTTTCACTGGAATGCAGCTTGCTATGGGGCATCATATATGGGCCTGATGACATACAGGACATGCAGCCAACTCTTCTCAGTTGATTTTAAGATTTTCCACTTCAGTGGTATTGGAATCATTTCCAACACCTACGGAGGGATTCACTAGAGAGGTGAGAGAGATGGGGTGAGAGCTGATGTTTATTATTTGTATGGAGTTTTTGTTAGTTTTTTTTT